TGACAGCACACACACAACCACTCTTCTGTCCCCTCTCTCTCTCTCTTTTGACTGGGGAAGCTTCTGATTGTGTTGCTCATCAGGGTCCTAAAACCCTCTGGGTTTCTCTCAGACAATTTACTATTTACACATATTTATTATTTGTGTAAATATTTAACAACAACAACATTTCTCTGTAATTTGGCACATTTATTTGAAGAATTAACCAGAAAAAAATGTGCCTTTGAAATTTCACACTTTGTTGTAGCACAGTTATTTCAGAAAATTAAAAACAATATATTTTACATTTAATATTGTTTGGTTAACTTTATTTTAAGGTGTCTCTATTACAGTGTAATTATATATTTAAGTGCTGAGTAATATTAAGCAACTACATGTTCTTACTATAGGGTTAGGGTAGGATTAGGATTTGGCTGAGGGTTATAGTTGCACGTAAATATGCATAATTTACTGTTATTGTAACATGTAACATATGTAACAAGGACACTGTAAAAATAAAGTGTTACCTATGTTTTTTTCAAGGACTGTACCTATTTTGGGCAATTTGCACTAGAAAATATACAAAAAAATTAATAAATATTTTAGAACGATAGACCGGACGGCCGGATGATAGGCAGAATGAAAAAATGATAGTGTGAATTTTAGTTTGAAGATGAATCGTGTAAAGACCAGCGAATCTTATGGCCCTTATGCATTGCTTTTTTCTTTCCTTCCTCTTTTATATATCTTGCTGTTATCTGTTGTGACCTTGCTTTACTATGTGCTTCCAAATCCCTACTATTACTAACACTCGTAAATCACATCACACGTTGGAGGCGAAGCAATCGTAATGACCTACATACTTTCCCTATGTCCTCTAGTACATTACTTTCATTTCCTCTTGGTCTCTGCTGTAAACAAAGCTGATTTCATTACATCTATTGCTAGTCATTCAGGTCTTAACCTCATGGTTCTGAATGACTTTCTCACACACCCCTTGTCTGACCGGAAGAGGTGGAGGTACTGGTCTACTAATAATAATAATAATAATAATAAATTTTATTTGTAAAAGCACTTTACATTTTAAGAAAAAACCTCAAAGTGCTACAGGTCTGATTCTAAGAACAATATCTAGACATTTTTAAAATCCATAAGATCTGCTAAAAAGTAATGTCTTTAGTCCCTTTTTAAAAGTCTTGATGGTCTGTGGTGACCTCAGATGGCCCGGGAGGGCATTCCAAATCCGGGGAGCGGCAGAGCAAAAAGCACGATCGCCCATTGTGCAGAGTTTAGTTTTAGGTATTAAAAGGCGGTTTGAGTTTTGTGATCGGAGGGATCGTGCTGTAGAAACAGGGGTAAGTAGTTCTTTCAGGTAGGGGGGTGCGTTTCCATAGATGCATTGGTGAGTGAGAAGTGAAACCTTATATTCGATCCTAGCAGACACGGGAAGCCAGCGAAGTGTGTGGAGGATGGGAGTGATGTGTTCATACTTTCACACTCTCATCAGGATCCTAGCAGCGCTGTTCTGGACGTACTGCAGCTTTTGCAGACTCTTGTTGGGGATCCCGATGAGAAGAGCGTTACAGTAATCCAGTCTAGAGGAGACGAAGGCGTGGACCAGTTTCTCAGCATCAGCTAAGGTAAGCGTAGAACGGAGTTTTGCGATGATTCTGAGATGATGAAAGGAGATCTTACAGAGATTTTTGATATGGACTTCAAAGGTGAGTTGTGGATCAAATCTCACACCGAGATTGGTAACTGTTGTGGAAAGGGGGATGTCTTGGCCAGAGATAGTTATACCGGAAAGTGAGGATGACTGAATTTGGTGTGAGGTGCCAATGAGAATTGCTTCAGTTTTGGAACTGTTTAGTTGGAGAAAATTCTGTTTCATCCACACCTTTATCTCCTCGAGACAGGCAGTGAGTGTTGGAGACGGAGATGATGTTTGCGGTGCTGCAGTTGGTTGTGGATCAGATTTCATGTACAGTTGTGTGTCGTCGGCGTAGCAGTGAAAAGACACTCCATGGCGGCTGATGACATGTCCGAGTGGCAAGATATAAATGATAAAGAGAATGGGGCCAAGAACCGACCCCTGAGGTACTCCGCAGGTAACTGTGTGTTCCCGGGACCTTGATTTTCCAAGCGAAATGTACTCTTTTCTGTCCGTCAGATATGAATTGAACCAGTCCAGGGAAATTTCAGTAAGTCCAGTGGTTTGATGCAGCCGGTCGAGTAGAATGCCATGGTCCACAGTGTCGAAAGCAGAGGACAGGTCGAGCAGTATGAGAAGGGAAGGTGAGCCAGCATCAGCTGCCATTCGTAGGTCATTTGTGACTCTGACGAGCGCTGTTTCTGTACTATGAGCTGTGCGGAAACCAGATTGGAACTTTTCGAATAGGTGGTTGTTTTTGAGGTGGTCCTGGAGATGAGTGGCAACAACTTTTTCCAAGACTTTTGAGATGAACGGAAGATTTGAAATTGGCCTATAGTTTGATAATATATCAGGAGCAAGAGTGGGTTTTTTCAGAAGAGGTCTGATTATGGCGGTTTTAAGAGCAGATGGAACAATGCCGGACAGGATAGACTGGTTTATTACAGTGGTGATGAGAGGGCTTAGAATAACGGAGTTTGCTTTGACAAGAGTAGTAGGAAAAGGGTCCAGGGCACAGGTGGTGGCTTTCATCCTTTTGATGATCATCTCTACCTCCTTATTCGAGATTTCTGGAAAGCATTTCAGGGGCTGGGCGATTGCAAGCTGTGAGTGTACAGATGGGGCAGATTGGATTGAGGATCCATGAATGGAAGAGCGGATTGAATCTATTTTAGTTTTGAAAAAGTCCAGTAAGTTATTGCAGTGTTCTTCTGTGTTTTCCGTGATGAGTGGGTCTGTGGTTTTAGAAGATGATTAATGGTGGAGAACAGCTGCTTTGAGTTTCCGGGACTGTTTTTGATGATATTAGAGTAGAATGATGACCGTGCCTTTATTAGCGACTTAGAGTATTTCTTTTGGTGTTTCCGAAAAGCTTGTTGGTGGACAGTGAGACCAGTGGCTTTATATCTCCGCTCAATGGCCCGCCCAGATGCCTTCATTTTCCGTAGCTCACTGGTGTACCAGGGGGCTGTTCGGGAGAAGGTCACTGTTCTAGTTTTTACTGGTGCGTGGATATCTAGGAGGCTCTTGAGGGTGTTGTTGTAGTAGTCCACAGGCTCCATGACTGGTGAGCAGTTAACAGAAAGAAGATGCTGAAGGTCGGATGCCAATGAATCTGAGTTGATGTTTTTTAGATTTCTAAAGCAGATTTGGCGCTTAGGCTTGATGAGGGCGGACGGTGAAGACATCATCATAGAAATGACCTTGTGGTCAGAGATGCCCAGATCATAAACCCGGAGATTGCTGAGATGGTCAGAGTTTGTAATAACCAGATCGAGTGTGTGTCCCCTAGTGTGAGTGGGGACATCGACAAGTTGAGTTAGATTAAAACAGTCCACTAATTGAAGGAATTCTGCTGCAAAACGACAGGTGGGGGAGTTGACATGGATATTCATATCTCCAAGAACTATGATATTGGCAGACATAGTACAGAGTGTTGTCAGAAGGTTAGACATTTCTGGGATGAAAGACGGGTTCGGTCTGGGTGGCCGATAAATGAGAAATATTGTTGTGGAGAGAGGAGGCTTGCACTTAAAAGCGAGGTATTCAAAAGAAGATGGCTCAGGCATGGTGATGGGGGACAGGCCCAGATCACTTCGGTGGATGACAGCCAGACCGCCGCCGCGCCCTGTATTACGGGCTTTCTGTAGGTAACAGTAACCAGGAGGACAGGTCTCATTTAAAACAGAGAAAACATCTGGTTTGTGCCAGGTTTCTGTAAGGCACACCAAATCCAGACATTTATCTAGAATATGTTCCTGTATAAGGCAGGATTTATTTGTGATGGATTGTGCATTGAACAGTTCAATCGTGATGGTAGATGGAGCAGTGTGTCTCTGTATTGGCCGGAGTAGACTGAAATCCACTCCACGTTTTCCCTCCCGATCTGTGCTCAGCGCTGCCGTTGAAACTCCAGCGTTACTTATTCTGGGAAGGGTAGCGCCCTGATGACGTGTTGGAAGTGCGACAGGGCGTGCGCCAGACCAGGGGGATGGAATGCCGTGATCAGAACGGGAGAAAACAAACTTTCTGCCGCAGCTCCTGTGAGTGTAGCGCGGCCGGCGAAGCAATCCAAGTTGATTAATAACTGGTATGCATGATGGAACGTTGCAGTTGTTAAAATTCCTCAGTTGGGTGACGGAATACTTAAACATTGTGCCACTCGCGGAAAACGGCCTGGTGTCCGGCCACAGCGCCCGTGCTGAGCGGAGAGCCGCCAGACTCAACAGAATCCCGCAGACCTCAGCAACAGCCTGGTCAGGAACCTCTCGATGGTAGGAGGCGATGCACAGACACAGGAAAAGCTCCGGGCGAAGGCAGACTGGTAAGTTGACAACAGCTGGAATCGGCGAAATCCGTACAAACACATCCATAAAGTTTGCACTCGTTATATTTACTGGACGTAGTAGTGCTGGTCAATAAACATACTGTATAGCCTGGTTAAATAGCAACAATTGTTGCCACAAGGATTTTCGGACGGAGAAGCGGCGAACAAACAACGCCAGCGTCCTCTCCTCCTCCCATGTCATCATCTGTCATATATAGTCCATACCTATTAAACATGTTCCTGGCCACAGTGTTCTAGAACATTACCTTTCTGGCCTAAGAATCCTCAATCCTGCTCATTGACTCCTGATGATACTGATCCTCCTGATCTACTCATCTCCAATGAATGGAAACTTAATCCTTTACCATCTCTGTGTGACAATAACTCTATAAATTGCATGCAATTACCATCACCAGCCCTATTAGAATCCATTTTGTAGTTGTTTATCGTCCCCCTGATCAGCTTACAATTTTTAGGAGGATTTGGATGTATTAAGGCACTACACTACACGACTCTTAAAATCTGAACAGATTTATAAACAGC